AGGATGTTTGATTTTATTTATCCCTAGTACAGGAATGGACTTTGGGAGCCCACTTCACAGAGAGGGATACTCTCTCAGCCTAGACACATGGGGGAAGGCCTAGGCTTTGCTCCAAATAATGACAGACTTTGTAGATTCCCATAGAAGGCCTCACCATCGCTGGGTAGCAGAAAGTGGTTAGGATACAGGTGGGGAGATCACGGGAGGAGGGGAGTGAGAGGGAACTGGGTTTGACATATAAATGAAGCTTGTTTCTAATTTAAAATTGGTCTGATTACAATTATAAAAATAAAAAAGTTTTTGTTTTTTGTTTTTTCTTTTATTCTTCTTGTTTTTGAGACAATGTTTCTCGGTATTGTTTTGGAGCCAGTACTGGAACTCACTCTGTTGAACAAGCTGGGTTCAAATTCAGAGATCTGCCTGCCTCTGCCTCCCAAGAGCTAGAATTTAAGGCTTGAGCCAAAATGCCTGACTTAATCATGTCTCTTGTATCAAGAATCATCAATGATCTCTCCAAGACCTTTGTCATGAAGGGATGTTGGATTTTTGAGGAAGTGTTTTTCAGAATCTAATGAGATGATCATGTGGGGTGTTTTTCACTTTATTTGTATAGTGGATTACACTGATGGATTTTCTTATATATAACCATCCCTGCATATCTGGCTTGAAGCCTACTTCATCATGGTGGATGATGTTTCTGGTATGTTCTTAGATTCAGTTTTACACTATTGTACTGAGTATTTTTGCATCCATGTTTGTGAAAGAGATTGGTCTTCAATTTTCTTTATTGCATGTTTGTGTGTTTTGTTTTTCAGGGTAACTATAGCATCATAGATTTGACAGTACCCCTTCTTTTCTCTTGTGTGGAACAATTTGAGGAGCATTTGTATTAGCTCTTAACCTTCAGGTAGAATTCTTATGCACTGAAAATATTTGGTCCTGGGCTTTTTTGGTTGGGAGCCTTTTGAGGACTCTCTGTAGTTTCTTTGAAGTTACATGTCTACTTAATTTATCTGGTCTTACTTTAATTTTGATATGTGGTACTTCTCCAGAGAATTGCCCATTTCCTTGAAATTTTCCAATTTTGTGGAATATGCATTTTTGAAGTATGACCTGTTTGTCTGAATTTCCTCAGTGTATATGGTTATGTCCCCATTTTCATTTCTGATTTTATTACTTTGGATGTACTCTCTCTCCATTTTGGTTAGTTTGGATAAAGAATTATCTATCTTGTTGGATAGCTCAAAGAACCAACTCTTAGTCTCAGTGATTTTTTTTGTATAACTTTTTTGCTTTATTGAGTATGGCCCTCAATTGTGTTACCAGATCAGCCAGCAGTGACGGTGGAGTGTGAGGCAAAGCATGTTTGAACAGAGAACACAGGTGATGAGCAGTCTGCCTGAGGACAGCTGCAGCTGCTAGCATGCAGCCGTGTTCTGAGAGTGGCAACGGGAGGAGGGTGTGGGTCTAAGGGAAACATGCAACCCACAGGGGAGAGGAAGCCAGATGTCAGAAAACCACACGCACTTTGGCATGGAAGAAACACATGAGGCTGTGCCATCCAGTGTAGAGCAAGTAACTACCGCTGCAGCATTGGGAGCCCAGGTGCCTCTGCAGTATGGGGTCTATGGAGTTTGTTGAGGAGACTGAAGAAGCAGCAACAACAAAAAATCTCAAACTGACTTTCAGGCTTCGGGGAGAGAAGAGACCGAGCCAGTGAGGAGGAAACTCCAACAAGTGTGCAGTGTATATCTCCATCATGTATCCATGGCAGCAAAGCCACAGGCAAGTGTCTTTTTTGTGAATTCTTGCCATAAATTGGAGGAAAATGTAGCATGCGGTCGAACTGGTCTTAATAAAAAGTTGGAGTCAGATATTAGGGAGTGAGAGCTGAAAGATCAGACGATATTAGCGTGTGAGAGCTGAAAGATCAGAGAAGCAGAGCAGCCAGACACTACAGCTCCAACATCTAGGAAATCCTCAGGCTCAAAAGAAACTTAATACGTGACTTCTTCTGACTTGTATTCCTCCATCTGCCAAGACATATCACTTCCTGTCTATTTGTGCAGACCTCCAGATGTCTATGGCTGCACAGTGTCTAGTTCCACCCTTTGATCTTCAGGTAGGCTTTATTTCTTTGAGGACAAACAAAATATCACCACAGTGTACATTGGACATTTAGTGGAGTCTTACCTGGAGTTTCTAGGATCAGCCTGGCCTCCCATAAGGCATTCAGGGCTGTGGACTCTTGTGTGATGCTCAGGGGATGAGGTTCAGTCTGAGGTTGTTGGACAGACTTAAAGGTATTTAGTGGATGGTGGGCGGTGTCTTCTATGGCTTCCCTCGGAATATTTTCGCCTCCAGTAAAGCTGTCAGGGATGTGGGCCCTAATGTGAAGCCCAGGGGAGGGGGCATTTTACCTTTCTTGCCTTCCAATGTCCTATAGAACAGGTCACTTGGGTCTTAACACTCAAATGCTTTTGTAGCCCAAGGTCTCTTATGTTTCCACAATGTTCTCCAAATCAACATTGTCACGTCTATTACAGCAATACTCCACTATATTGGTAATAAATTGTCTTATTTTGGAATACTATTGCTGTGATCAAACACCTTCACCAAAACAACTTGTGGGGAAAAGGGTTTATTTAGTTGACACTTCCCTATTACTGTTCAAAGTTAGGACAAAAACGCATCCAGGGGAAAAAAAAATATGTAGGTGGAAATTAAAGCAAAGGCAATGGAGAAATCCTGCTTACAGGCTTGTTCCCCATGGATGCTCAGCCTGCTTTCTTATACAACCCACCACCAGCCACCCAAGGAAAGCCCTTACAACAAAGCTCTGTGCATTCCTTCATTGATCTCTGAGAAAATACTTGCCCACAATCCACTGTTATAGAGGCATTTTGCCAAAGAGGGTTCCCTTCCTCAGATTACTGCAGCATGCTTCAAGTTGAAATAACAATAACCATGACATCTGTGTTCTTGCCTGGCAACAAAAAGATAGTAAAATGCTAAACAGCTGGATGTATACATGGATGAATATATGTATGCACACACATAGGCAGCTATATGCTATTTTTATTGTGCTATAATTCAACTGAGGGTCTTTAGCATGCTTATTTAAAAAGCACTCTAGCAGTGAACTAAGAGTTTCAGTCTTAGTCCTAATGAGTAACTCTGACAAGTTTGAACAAACAAACAAACAAAACAAAACAAAACAAAACAAGATAAAACCAGTAAGAAAGTGTTCCTTGTGGAATATGTGGAAGACAAACAAAAAACAATAGTCAATGATACTCTTCATTTAATGGTATTTTATTATTTAACAGCAAACAGGATGGAACATTACAGTAGGAAATCACTAAAATACACTATAATGCTGCACTACACCTTCTTATTATATTGTCTTGTCAGTGCAGAAGAAAGGCTGGACAGGGAAATTGATGGTTCCAGAAGGAAACTTGTATATGAGGGAACTCCTGGCAACATCCAGGAAACTTAAAGATCCATCATCACAATCAAGGAGCACACCAACCCGGTCCACTGGCTTCTGTATGTAGAGATGGATAACTGGCCATGATGTCAGGAGATTGCAATGATTACCCTCCTTCACACAGGCAAGAAGTAGAAGCATACATCCAACACATAGGTTTTCCTTCCTAAATGAGGAATCTGTACAGACACCTACAACCCAGTCCAAAGAGTCCTTCACTACCACCTCCCAGTAATATTTCCCTGAGATGTAACATTTTGATCCACAGAAGACGGTATAGCATCCAGGAATATCAACAGATGGGCCCTGAAGGTGAGGTCTGAAGCTGATTCTTCTCATGTAATTCAATAAGGTGGTCTTCCAAGTGATAGCATTTTGTTCTGGGAAGAAGACTTGTCCTGGAGGGAAGAGTCAACATTTTAGTTGAAATCACCATGTACATTTCTCAGGTAAGAGAAGTCCTAGAGTCTTCTTTGATTTTAAAAACAGGATAAGACTAGGGATTAAATGGGACTCAGGGGCTCGTCAAAGTCAAAGATTTCCAAAAGAAGCAGAGTAGCATGATGGAAAGCTTTATGACTTTGTAGATGCTGTCAAGGAGGGAGCCTCACTCTACCTCTGGCAAATGAGTTTTATTTGCACCTGGAAGAGGGAGATGTGTGTGTTTCAGTGACAGCAAATGCCCTTCTCATGGGTCTACATAAAACATCATTCCTTAGATGTGAGCTGTGATGGTTTTCATATTAGTGCTGTGATTTCCATGTAATTAATCATATTTATACTATAGGAAGAGCTAAATATGCTTTAGAAGTGTATCCCTGGTAGTAATTGTCCTCCTGTAACCTCTTGTTCCCGATTCTTACTCTGGGCGCTGACCGTTGACTTTTATCTGCAAGGTGACTCAGACACTGTCCCACTTTTGTTTTATCTACATTTTTCATTATATGTGGCTTTGTTTAGTTACTTATAAGCTTTCTTGTTCAGTCCCTTTTTAGAGAGGGTCTTGCTATTTATCCTTGAATGCCATGGAACTCCATGTTGCCCAGAATGTCCTCAAATTAAATGGCAGTCCTCACCTTGCTGTTTTGAATATTGGGATTACTACTGTGCACCATTCTACCTTGTGTCTTTTAAAACTACAGATTGTACCTATAAAATGAAGTATCAGGTGGCAGAATCACCATCCCTGACTTAAAGCTCTATTCTCGAGCTGCATTAATGAAAACAGCTTCATAATAGCATAAAAACAGACAGGTTGAACAATGGAATAGAATCAAAGACCCTGATATTAACCAACACCCCTATGCACACCTAATTTAGGAAAAGGAAGCTAAAACTACAAAATACAAAAGAGAAAACATGTCCAACAATTGGTGCTGGTATAACATCATTCAATAGGCAGAAGAATGCCAAAAGATCCATATCTATCACCATGCACAAAACTCAAGTCCAAATGGATCAAGGACCTCAACATAAATCCGTCCACACTGAACCTCACAGAAGAATAAGTGGGCAATAAATTGGAACACTTCTGCACAGGAGACCACTTCCTAAATAAAACACTGGTAGCACAGACACTGAGAGCAACAATTAATACATAAATGGGACCTCCTGAACCTGAGAGCCTTCTGGAAAGCAAAGAACATGGTCAACAGGACAAAACAGCTCCCTAAAGAATGGGAAAAGACCTTCAGCAATCCCACAACTGACAGAAGACTGATCTCCAAAATATGAAGCAAAGGACAAGTAACGAGACACCAAACTACCAATTAATCAAATTTCAAAATGGGATACAGACCTACACAGAGAATTCTCAGCAGAACAATCTCAAATGGTGCCAAGAAGACACTTAAGAAAATGTCTCAATATCCTTAATCATCAGGGAAATGCAAATCCAAACAACTCTGAGATCAATCCTTACATTCATCAAAATGGCGAAGATCAAAACCACTAATGACAGCTAATGCTTCAGATGATGTGGAGAAAGAAGAACACTCCTCCATTGCTGGTGGCTGTGAAAACTTATACAGCCTCCATGGAAACCAGTATGGTGATCTCAGAAATTAGAAATCAAGCTGGCCAGTGGTGGCACACATGCCTTTTAATCGCAGCACTTAGGAGGAAGAGGTTGGCGCATCTCTGTGAGTTCAAGACCACCCTGGCCTCCAGAGTGAAATCGTGTATCAGAAAAAAATAAGGAATCAACCTGCCTCAAGACTCTGCAGTACCACTGTTGGGCATATACCCAAAGGAGGCATATTCACACCACAAGTTCCTTTGCTCAACTATGTTGAGAGCAACATTATTCATAATATCCAGATCTTGAAGCAACTTAGATACCCTTAATCTGAAGAATGGATAAAGAAAATGTGCTATATTTACACAATGGAGTACTACTCAGCAGTATAAAACAATGTCATACTAAAACTTGCAGGCAAATGGACAGAACTGGAAAAAAATTCCTGACTGAGATAACCCATAACCAGAAAGACAAATGGAGTATGTACTCACTCATAAGTGAATACCAGACATGAAGAGAAGCTAGAACCCTCTTCCAGAAATCTATGGAAGCAAAGGCAGAAATCCATGACTAATTAATGGGGCAAGCCTTGGAATACAGTCAAAGTGAGGAAGGAACAAAAATATGAACAAAGGAGTCAAGACGATGAAGGGGAAACCCACAGAGTCAGCTGACCCAAGCTAGTGAGAAATCATTAACGCTGGTCTGACAAATGAGGAGCCTACATTAAGACAAAACCCAGAGACTCCTTTCATACAGCTGACAATGATGTGGCTAAGACAA